CGGCAGTTTGGGGCTTTGGGACCCCAGGACAGTCACAACTTGGGGCTATGGGGACATCCTACTCCTGCCTGCAGATGTGGGGCAGGGGTGGCACTGGGGGGGGGTCTGACACCCATGTGGGCTCCGTGACCCCAAGGAGCTTTGGGGGGCTTTGTGGCGGTGCCCCCCACGGGTTCCCCCCCCCCCCCCAGGAATTGGTGTCAGTTGGCATCGGGGACGGCCCCCCGGGGGAGCTGACGGTGCTGGGCCACGTGAAGCACAAGCTGGTTTGTTCACCCGACTTCGAGGCGCTGCTGGAGCACCGGCACCGGTGACCCCACAACCCACAGCAGCCCTGCGGGGCAGGGGGCAGCGCCGGGGGCCGGGCCTTCATCCCACCCCCCCCACCATGCTGAGGGGTCGCAGCGTTGCAGAGCTGTGAAGGGGCGGCCGTGCCCCCCCCCCTCCCCTCATTGGGTGCAGTGGGACGGACAGAAATGCAATAAAAACCTTTTTCCATGCGTGTGTGTGGGGCTGCCCCGCGCCGTCCAGCCCCCCTCCCTGCCGTTGCCCCCAGTTGCCCCCTACAAAGCCCCAGGCCCTCGTAGCTGCCCCGTGTCACTGCCCCCCACATTGGCTCCATAATTGCCCTCTATCAGTGCCCCTTCCACTGCCCCCCCTTTCCCTGCAGCTGCCCCTATGATTGCCCCCACCTCCCCTAATTCCTCCTACAGCTGCCCCCCGATTATCCCAACCCTACAGCTGCCCTTTGCAATGCCCCCCCCCACCCCGGAATCGCCCCCTGGATTGCCCCCAGCCCCTGTAATGCCCCAAATGCAGTTCTCTCCACTCCTTATCATCGTCCCTACGCCTGTTTCCTGCTCCTATAATTACTGGGACTCTCCTCTGCCCTTTGCCTTGCCCCTGCCCCACAGCTGCCCCTCCGGTTGCCCCCATCGCCCTTTCGAATTGCCTCCATCACCCGCTGACCCCGCTTCGTGGCCCCGCCCACATCGCACATTGGCCCCGCCCCCATCACCCATTGGCCCCATCGCCTGTCGGTCCCGCCCACACTTCCCGTTAGCCCCGCCCCCAGCCGCCGCCAATGGTGTCGAAGCCGCGCCCCCGCTCACGGTTTCCGCCCCTCTCGACCAATCGCAGCTCCGCGTCAGCGGGGCGGAGCCTGCGGGCGAGCCAATGGGAATCGGGCGGTTCGCGCGCGCGGATCGGTGCGGGGCGCCGTGTGGCGACGGCCTCGATCGCGCGGTGCCGCCATGGAGCCGCCGCCGCCGTTCCGCCATCGCGCCGCGTGGGGCCGCGGGGCGCCTCCGGATCCGGCCGCCTCTCGGCTTCCGGCCCCCGCCCGCGGGGCGCCTCCGGGCCCGGCCTTCCCTCGGGCCGAACTGGGCCGCGGTTTCCCCGCCCGGCCCTGCCCGCCCCGCGGCCCGGATCCCGCGCTCGGCCCGGAGCCGCTCTCGTCCCTCCTGTGGAGTTTGGGCTTCGGCACGCGGCCTCCCTCCTCACCGCAGCCGGCAGAGCGGCCGCTCGGTAGGAGCCGGGCCGGGCGGGAGCCGTTTGGCGCCGGGAGGGAACCGTAGAGCTCGTTGGGCCGAGGGGCCGCGCAGGAAGGGCTCCTGGCGCTGCGGGGCCTTCGGGCCTCACCCCCCCATCCGTCCGTCCGCCTGTCCGTCCCTCCGTCTGTCCGTCCATCCCTCCCTCCCTCCATCTGTCTGTCCATCCATCTCTCCATCCATCCGCCCATCCGTCTGTCCCTACATCATCCATCCCTCCCTCCCTCTGTCCGTCTGTCCGTCCATCCCTCCATCTGTCCATGTGAAACATGGACCCCATGGAATCCCTGCAACCCGTCCGTCCGTCCGTCCCGCAGGTCGCGGTGCTCTCAGTCCCGCTGCGGACGCCGCGCTGCCCCCCAGGCCGGACGGCAGCGACGCAGAGCTGGGGGCCGCGCTGCCCAGCCGCGGCCGGTGAGCGCAGGGGGGGCCGGGCTGCGCCGTGTGCCGCTGGGCCGCACGGCGGGGGGTCGGCAGAGCTGGGGCTGCCCCCCCTCCCCCCCCCTTAATTTGTCTCCTGTTTGATGCCCGCGGGATCCGGCGGCGCAGCGGTGGAGGGGACGTGCTGCCCGTCACCGCCCCTGAGGGAACCGCAGGGTTGTGCTCTGCTGAGCTGTGCCCTCCTGCGTCCGGAACCCAGGCTGCGGCACCGCCGGGACCCCCCAGGGCTGCCAGCAAACAGTGAGCGGGGCTGGGGGGGCTGAGGTGTGGGGGCTGAGCTGTGGGCTGAGCTGTGGGCTCCCCACCTGCCCTGTTGGTCTCTCCTAGAGCCCCCACTACGAAGCCGAAGGGAACGGCTGTGCCCGTGGGGCTGAACTTGGTGCAGATCCATTGCCAGAACGACGCCGTCTATCAGTACCACGTCACCTTCAGGTAATTAAGGTGCTGTTAATTAGTAGCTGTGATAGAACCCTGCCCATCCCCCCGTGTGGGATTCCCTGAGCCACGGTGGGGGTTTGGGCTGCGGGGCTGACGCTGCCTCCCGTGTCCCCCAGCCCCGAGGTGGAGTGCAGGAGCACTCGCTTTGCCATGCTGAAGGAGCAGCGGGCGGCGACGGGAGATGTGACGGCGTTTGACGGCTCCATCCTCTTCCTGCCCATCCTGCTGCCTCAGGTGGGGCTGCCGCCACTCCCGGCTCTCGTTCCCCAACGTGGGGACGCCGGGATCCCCCAGCGCTGAGCCCCGTCCCACCCACAGCCGCTCAGCCTGAAGGCGCTCAGGAGGACGGACGGCGAGGAGATCAGCATCACCATCCAGATCACCAAAGTGCTGGAGCCCAGCTCCGACCTCTGCATCCCCTTCTACAACGTGGTGTTCCGCAGGTGAGGCGCGCTGCCTTCCTGCCCGCTCCTTGCGCCCGGGGCCTGACGACGTCGCGCCGCTCCTCCGCAGAGCCATGAGGATCCTGGACATGAAGCTGGTGGGCAGGAATTTCTACGACCCGTCCAAGGCCAATGTGCTGCAGCGCTACAGGTGGGTGCGGGACGTGCTTTGCTTCGGCTGCTGCCCAGCCCTGCTGCCTGCGGCTGTGGGGCCGAGGGCATCCCCAGGAGCGCTGCTGGGCACGCCGGGTTCCTCCCTGTGCTGCCGCCCCCATCCTGGTGCCTGTGGCTGTGGAAGCGAGGCCTTTGCCAAGGGAGATGTGCAGACGTGGTCACCCGGTGCCAGCGGCGCCGTTTGGGGCTGCGGCAGCCGCAGGGCGATGGCCGTGGGGTGGCTGTGCTGCGCTGCCAGGGCTGAGCTGAGCTCCGCGCCGCTTCCCTCGACTGCAGGCTGCAGATTTGGCCCGGTTACTCCGTCAGCATCCGCAAAAAGGACGGCGGGCTCTTCCTGATGGTGGACACCGTCCATAGGATCATCCGGAGCGAATCCGTGCTGGCTTTGATGTGAGAGGGGAGAAAGGGGCAGGAGGCTCGGGGCAGGGGGCTGCCCTTGCTGGGGGGGCTGCGGGATCCGGTGCTGCCCCCTCTGCCTTCCACGCAGGCACTCCATCTGCAAGCAGAGCCCCGGCAGCTTCCACGACGAGTGCACCAAGCAGCTGGTGGGCAGCACGGTGCTGACGCGCTACAACAACCGCACGTATCGCATCGACGACATCGACTGGGAAAAGACCCCCAGGGACAGCTTCACGTTGGGCAGCGGGGAGCAGATCACCTTCGTGGATTACTACAGGTGGGCCGGGGGGCTTCGGAGGGGCTGCTTGTGAGAAGGCTGGCTGACGGTGTGGGTTTTCTGCCAGCAAAACGTACGGGATCACAGTGCGGGAGTTGGAGCAGCCGCTGCTCATCCACAGGCCCAAGGAGAAGCTGATGCCGGGGGGCAAGGTGAGGCGGGGGGCCGGGGGGCTGCGTGCGCCTTGCAGCTCGGCGTGCAGCACGAGCCGGGCTCTGGCTGCCCTGCAGCCCCAGCTGGACATGGTGCTGCTGCTGCCGGAGCTCACCTTCCTGACCGGCATCTCGGAGATCAAGAAGGACGCCCGCATGCTGAAGGTCAGCATCGCCCACCCCATGAAGGGCTGGCGCTGCAGGGCCGCCCCACACGGCTGCTGTGCCCCCAGGACGTGACGCAGGAGATGCTGCAGAGCCCCCAGCAGCACTACGAGTCTCTGTGCAGCTTGCTGCGCCGCATTCAGTGCAACCGGGAGGCGCTGCAGGAGCTGACGCGCTGGGGGCTCGTCCTGAGCGCCGACATCCACACGGTGAGTTGGGGGACGCGGGGCGGCGCGGGCGGCGCGGGAGCTGCTCAGGGTTGCGTTCCTCGCAGACCCAGGGACGCGTCCTGCCCTCGGAGCGCGTCAACCTGCGGCACTGCTCCTTCGTCCCCGCCGAGGACGCGAGCTGGAGCAAGGAGGTGGTGCGGGAGGCCGCCATCGCCACGGTGAGCGCGCGGCCGGGCTCTGCTGCCCCGGGACAAAGCGGCTCTGTTGGGGCTGGATGGGTTTCAGCTCCTCCCGCTGCGCACGGAGCCGCGGCCCGGCTGCGGTCTGCCCTGTGTTTACCTTGGCTTTGCCTCGCGGCCCGCTTTGCAGAAGGGTTGTGGGGACGAGGCGTCTGCTTCCACCCCCCCCCCCCTTGGGGCCACGGGAGCTGAGCGTCGCCCGTCCCCCCCTTGGGACGCTTTTCCTGCCCCACGCCTCCCTCTGCCCCCCAGGTTGACGTGAACTGCTGGCTGCTGGTTTACCCGCGGCGCCTGCAGGACGCGACCAAGAATTTGGTGGCTCTGATGAGGAGCACCTGCGGCCCCATCGGCATGCACATCAGCCAGCCCGCCCTGGTGGAGCTGAAGGACGAGCGCCTCGAGACCTACGTCCGAACCATCCGCAGCATCCTGGGCAACGAGGTGGGCTTGGCTGCTTCTCCTGGGGGCGGCGGGGGGCTTCCGCAGCCGCGCTCTCATTCCTGGCTCGCCGCGTTGTTTCCACGCAGGACAAAGTGCAGCTGCTGCTGTGCATCACCAGCAGCACCAAAGCGGACGTGTACAGCGCCGTCAAGAAGCTGTGCTGCGTGCACAGCCCAGTGCCCTCCCAGGTGTGGGGCTGTTGGGGCGGCCCCCGAGCCGGGCTGGCTGTGGAGCAGCCCCCTGACCTCCCTTCTCCCCGTGCAGGTCATCAACGCTCACTCCCTCCTGGGCCACTCGGCCAAGCTGAGGAGCATCGTGCAGAAGGTGCTGCTGCAGGTGAACTGCAAGCTGGGCGGCGAGCTGTGGGGGGTGGACGTCCCTCTGGTGAGTGGGGGGCGCAGGCTGGAGGGGGGCGCAGGCTGGAGGGGGGCGCAGTCTCACGCTGGCCCCACCACCGCTTCCCTGTGCAGAAGCAGCTGATGGTGGTCGGGATGGACGTGAGCCACGGCAGAGGGACGCGCTCCGTCATCGGCTTCGTGGCCAGCACCAACCAGTGCGCGCTGCCGCTTCCCCTTTCCCAGAAGGGGCGGCTTTGCCCCGGCCTCGTGCCGTGCTGGGCAGGCGCTGCTGGGCGCCGCTTCATGCTGATCCCACGCTTGCCGTGCCGGCCCTCCGCCCCGCAGGTTGCTGACCCGCTGGTTCTCCCGCGTCGTGTTCCAGCTGCCGCAGCAGGAGATCGCCGACAGCCTGCGCCTCTGCCTGGCCAACGCGCTGCAGCAGTTCCACGAGGTGGGGGCACAGCTGGGGGCGCCCGGCACCAAACGGCCCCACGGCTCTGAGCCCTGCGTGAGGCTCAGCCGCGTCCCAACGCTCCTGGGGTCGCTTTGCCCTCAGGCGGCGCCACAGAGCCGCTTTGTGGGTCAGTGCCGAGCGTTGTCCCGTTGTCCCGTTGTCCCATTGTCCTGTTGTCCTGTTGTCCTGTTGTCCCGTTGTCCTGTTGTCCCTTTGTCCCGTTGTCCCGTGTCCCCAGCGATGCGGCACCAAGGGCTGCCGGCTGCTGCTGGCTCATGTCGCTTCCTCTGACCCCCGCTGTGAGGTTTGGGGCTGTGCTGGGGCTCACGCTGTGTCCATCCCACCAACCTGAGCTCAGCTGTGTGCTCAGCACAGCAAGGGCGGCAGGGGATCCTTGCCATGGGCAGCCTCAGCTCCCCCCGC